TGCGTATAGTTGTGGGCGTGCATGCGAAGAAAACTGTAACTGATGAAAATTTCGCTGCGCAAAGCCCTGCGTTGTTTCGCTGTCTGCGACATCGGCCAGCGCAATAAGGGATTGCTCACTCAAACTGGCCACAATTTTTCTAGCTTTCGCAATTCCCATTTATACTCACCCCTATTCACCCATATGAGTGCTCACTCACATTCACGCTCACGTTCCCCCACAGTCATTAGTGCTCACTCACGTTTGCACTTACGACTACTAAGACTCATCAGTACTCTCTCAAGTTTATACGACTGCTCGCATTCGTAGTCACTCACGCTCATACTCATGCCTACACTCATAGGCACTCACACAATTTCATTCTCACACCTACTCACATTCACAAGCACTCACTCACTTTCATATTCACACCTACTCACACTCACAGGGATTTGCACACTTTTATTCTCACACATACTCACACCCATAAGCACTCACACACGTTCATGTTCCAGCATACTTGCACTCACAGGCACTAACACTTTCATTCTCAGACCTACTCACACATGTAAGCACTCACTTTCATTCTCACGCTTACTCACTGTCACAGGCGCTTGCACAATTTCTTTCTCACGCCTGCTCACACCCATAAGCTCTCACTCATGTTCATATTCCCGCCTATTCACACTCGCAGACACACACTTTCACTCTCACACCAACTCACACACATAAGCACTCACTTTCATATTCACGCCTACTCACACTCACAGGCACTCACACACTTTCATTCTCATGCCTACTCACACCCATAAGCACTCACTCACGTTCATGTTCCCGCCTATTCACACTCACAGGCACTCAAACACTTACATTCTTGTGCCTATTTACATAAGCGCCGACTCGCTTTCTTACACTAACAGGCACTCACACACTCCCATTTTCATACCTACTCACACATAAGCACCCACTTTCATACTTATTCCAACTCACACTCACAGGCCCTCACAAACTTTCAATCACACCTACTCACGTTCATGAGCACTTACTCACGTTCATATTCTTGCCTACTCACACTCACAGACACACACTTTCACTCTCACACCAACTCACACACATAAGCACCCGCTTTCATATTCACGCCTATTCACACTCACAGGCACTCACACACTTTCATTCTCATGCCTACTCACACCCATAAGCACTCACTCATGTTCATGTTCCCGCCTACTCACACTCACAGGCACTCAAACACTTACATTCTCATGCCTATTTACATAAGCGCCGACTCGCTTTCTTACACTAACAGGCACTCACACACTCCCATTTTCATACCTACTCACACATAAGCACCCACTTTCATACTTATTCCAACTCACACTCACAGGCCCTCACAAACTTTCAATCACACCTACTCACGTTCATGAGCACTTACTCACGTTCATATTCTTGCCTACTCACACTCACAGACACACACTTTCACTCTCACACCAACTCACACACATAAGCACCCGCTTTCATATTCACGCCTATTCACACTCACAGGCACTCACACACTTTCATTCTCATGCCTACTCACACCCATAAGCACTCACTCATGTTCATGTTCCCGCCTACTCACACTCACAGGCACTCAAACACTTACATTCTCATGCCTAATTACATACATAAGCACTGACTCGCTTTCTTACTAACACTAACAGGCACTCACACACTCCCATTTTCGTACCTACTCAAACATAAGCACTCACTTTCATACTTATTCCAACTCACACTCACAGGCCCTCACAAACTTTCAATCACACCTACTCGCGTTCATAAGCACTTACTCACGTTCATATTCTTGCCTACTCACACTCACAGACACTCACTTTCATTTTCACACCTCACACACGTAAGCACTCACTCACGTTCATGGTCACACCTACTCACACTCACAGGCTCTCACACACTTTCATTTTCACACCTACTCACGCTAATAGACATTCACTCACGTTCATATTCATGCCTATGCACACTCACAAGCACTCACATGCTTTGGTTCTCATGCTAACACTCATAAGCACTCACTCATGTTCATATACATGCTTACTCACCTTTGTCAGGGCTCACTCATAAGCACTCACATTTGTACTCACTCCTGCTCAGTCATGGGCCCTCACTAACGTTCATACTCACGTGTACTCACACTGATAGGCACACACTCAAGTTTATTGCTACACACTTACGTTCATACTTACGTGCACTCACACTTGTAGGCACTGACACACGTTTACGCTCACGCGCTTCACCCTGCCTCTTTCGTGTCCATGTGTTGTTTTTCTCATGCTTTTTTTTTCGAACATGACTCACGTTCACACTCATGTATACTCACACACATGCTCATTCACATTTATACTCTCTCCAAAGGCACTGATAGTCACTCATAATCGCACTTAACACCTACTCACACTTATAGCACTCACTCACGTACTCACACCTACGTACACACGCAAATGCTCACTCAAGTTCATACATACTAAAGCTCACTCACTCTCATAGGTGCTCACTCACCTTCATGCTTACACCTCACACCCATTGCTTCTCACTTGCGTTCATACTCACGTTCACTGATGCTCATAGCTACACAATGCAGGTTCACTGTGACCTATTTATACCCATGTGTACTCATTCCAGTTCATACTCACCTACTCACACCAACAAGTGTTCTTCTCTCATGTTTTGTCAAACGTACGTTGATTCAATAAGAAAGGGGGCGCTGCGATGAACTTTCCCACACGTCTGAAGAGGATCCCTGCACACGCTCATTCTCACGCACGCGAACACCATGCCCTCAATATTCACAGTTGCTCCACGCAGTACCCCCTTAATCTCCCGGCATTCTTTCATACTCCATCCTTCAGTGAAATAGGGGCAGGGCGTATTCTTTCTTCTTGATGAGCAATCGACGACAGGCCTCGTGCACGTGTTGATATCGCATGAGCCGAGCATGCGACAGAGATAGCCAGATTCTTACATCTCAGCTTCAGCCATGCTTCTCACCAATACTCGCGCATAGACCATACAATGCACGAAGTGATGTTATCCATTTGGACTTAATGTGGGAAATGATGACTATGAGAAAAACTTTTCCAAAGTGTCCATAAAATAGCTCTTGCAAAAACTTGCAAAAAAGAAAAAAAAAACGTGGAAGCGGGCTCAACTTTTTCTAGGAGAGCTGCATCGTCTCTGCTGTTAAAAGTTTCTCTGTTAGAAGAATGAAATCATCCACCGAGTTTTAATTGGTTCTGTACTACCCTTCTTATAGGTGATGTTTCTTCGCAAAGCACGCATACAATGCCAGCTTTAAGCGTTGAGCTAATCAAGATTTTGCACTTGTCAGCTACAATCTGTTATCTCTGCTTGCGCTGTCGAAAACCGCACAGAATGGAGCAAAATCAGTTGATCACACATGATAGTCATGCGAGAGAAGAAAGAACTTGTGGGTGACTACACTAACTACATGGCAAGGCAGGTTGGTGTGCAATTCACACCTGATATTTTCGCTAGCACATAGAGCAATTAATAGTATGCACGCTAATGATATCTCGTGAATCACTGTTCTGGCATTATAAGAATCGAAAGTTGGGCTAGTTGGGTATGCATGGTATAACTGTCCGTTTTAGCACACGAATAGTTGTGACCCTCAATGAATTTGCAAGCATATAGTTGCTTACATGACACAAAGCTTGTCGCTTGTGCAAGGTAGTCCTCTTTATGTGAGTGAAGTCGACCAACTGTCGCAGTTCAACATCGTGTTGGAGTTCAGGGTCTTGAAATTCAAGTGGGTCCATGCCACCGCACAGATGCACTTTCTACGAGTAGCGCTATCACATAGGTTCATCTGACTCATGTGCGTATGCACTTAAATCCACTGCAGTCCACTGGTGCACCAATGAAACAGAGAAAAACAGATGGCTCCACAGTGTCACCGTAGCCACCATAAGGGCATGGAACCACAGAGACCACCAAGATGGTGGAATCCTGGAACGACACTAGCACACCTTGCGGATGACGCCACCACGCTATGTGGAGGCGCGCACTCATATTGACACTCTGGGTGGTGCGCCTGTTGTGCCATCTCGCTACTCATGACAAAAACCTGCTGAAGTTTCACAGCTCTGAGGAACATCAGCAGTCCTCATGACTCGCCGTTAACAAGTTAGAGAGGGTTTGTTTCGTAGAATTTAGTGGTTAGCTCCACACGCTGAGGAGCGCGAAGTTGCTATTTTAACGCCCCATTGCGTAACTTTACCTTATCGATTTTTGCTTATAATTTGGTGGTATATATTTTACAATGGCATATCCATGGCGGAAATACATCAGTGAAGCTGTGGTGGACCCTGGCAGGGGACACTTTTGTGTTAAAAATAAATAAATTGTGGGAACCTTGCGCACTGGCTATCAAGAGATAGCGAGATAGCGCCACGTGTTGCGCAGTAGCGATGTGCATGGCCCTCTTGCATTCTTCAAAAGGGCCAGCTTCCGGGCTGCCTGGGGGAGAGACGCCTTGGCTGCCACGGAGGGCAGAGACTGTTACCTGCGCTGGCAGATTGCTGCTGTTCGGAATAATGGTCGCTGCACTGAGCCGACCCTGTCGTATACAATGTTTAGTTAAATAAATGTAATTCCTTGTTTTGACGTGAGGCCTTCGTCATCCTTGCTTTACCTACGGACAGGAAGCCGCAAGCCCGATACCATAGTTTGTGCCCAATGTGGTTTTTGCTCCTGCCTGTAGCATTGGCACAGCGTACATAGGTCTGGACTTTGGTTTTGGTAGCTGAGTTTTCTTTCGTCTACAGGAACTTTTTTTTGGTGTGTGTTTTTTATTGCATGACTTTTTTTTCTCCCCATGCAACAGGCAGACAAAAAGCAGCTCCATGTGTGTTCCCGCTTCAGAAAATGAGGAGCTAACAAGCATATATGCGAGTTGTACATTAGTGCACCTTTCGACTGAGTACTGGTTTGCGTTTTCCTTTGCACAGCGTCAGCGGACAAGTCAATAATGGCGAAGGAGCGCATGGACGTCATTCTATTTCGAACGAAAAGCCTGGGCAAATACTGGAGCTTTGGCATCGACATAGTGGAGGTCAACGGAGAGAACAGGAGGTTCATCATGGTGGAGGTGCGTGTACCCAGAACCAGCGCTGTGGAGGGGCATGTGAGATATGGCATAGAAATAATGCGTATGTGAACAAGCTTGTGAGGCAGAAGAGCAATATCAAAATTCCACCATATCCCACTAAAAGGAACCATATGTGGGGAGCGAAGCAGTGCTGGTGTTCACTTGTTTCCATTTGTCGTTTCCAGTTGTATGTTCCATTTGAGTGCGTAGTAGTGTATATTGTGCACTGCCTATGTTACCCCCCTCATTTGTGTGTATTACTGTGTGTGAGCCGCAAAAAGAGCATCCAGCGCTACTAGGAGAGTGCAGCGAGGCGAGTACATTCAGCATTAGACATGCAGTTTTTTGTGCGATGTGGCATGTGCCACGACGATGCGGCAGCTGGAGTGGCGACGATTCATGACGTATCAACGCATCGGGCTGCATTGCCTGTCCGGCATGCATTACCCAGTCAGATATTTTCGTTGCTGCACCGGACTACTGCATGGCTGCAGCCCATCACAGCCGGAGCAGATAAGTGGCGTCATCTCCCTGTCGCCGCTCCCATCACCTGTAGTCCAAGACTGTTCAGGCGAGTCGATGGAGTGGAGCGAGCCTGGATTTGCTGACATCGTTGAGAACAGTTCTCTTGTGACGTGAAATTATTTCGGATCGAATAAAGTGATGTTTGAAGTGTGCCATTTCTGTAGGATAACACTCGTTTTGAAGCCATTAGCGAGATTGGAGATCGTGAGCAGCGATTCAAGGTCATTTCGCAGGTAAACACAGTGACACCGGCGTCTCTATGAGCCAGCTCGCTTAGTTTATGTCTTTTCTCTTCACATCAATGACATCTAGAAAGTAATAGCGTGTGCTAACGCATTACATACAAGGGCAAAGCTTAATAGTGTTGTCAAAATCAAGCGCTCGATGACGAGCTCATGTGTGAACGGTGTAGGTGACGGCCAATGCCCGCCATGCTAGGCCTACCTGTCGTAGTCGTGAATAATCACCTCTTGCCGCTATTGTGACGTGCTTGTCATTCACGAAAGCGTTTTATTCATTATTTTTTATGGAACGAAACATGGCTGTGAAATAACCGTTTTGAGCTTCATTAATAGGATGCGATGTCCTTCGACTGTGCATGCCAAGGCGTCGCGGGGGGGTGGAGCTTGCCGCTGATAGCTCCTTTGCCCCTGTGTGTCCCAAAACGCCGCATGACAGTGCTGGCGCATTGTCGCGCCGCACGCCGCATCGCATGTCTGTCTCGTGCTTAAGCACGAGACAGACTTTTATTTTTTACTGCGATGTGGCATGCGTCGTGACGATGGGGCAAGCAGCTTATGAGTGTAACCAGCTGGGTTCTTAACAATCTTCATGCATCTTTCTCTGATCATTACCAGTACTTTATGCCTCCTCCATTATGCCTCATTAGGGGATTCTTTGGAATTTTTACTAACTTTGAGCTTGTATTATCTACGAGCGCATGCATACATACATTATGCGGTGAGCCGTCTGATAACATTTGTTTGTTTGTTTTTAAAGAAACAATCGTTCTTCTACCTCTGACTTCTTAAATAATCTACCTTCCTCCTCTCCATTGATAACCCCCTTCCACGGTTTCACATCGAGCAACACCCTTGCGCCGTGTGCGCGGTGCAGGAGATGCAAGGCCAGCATCGCAGCGCCCCTTCCGCCGACGGGTGGCAAAACATACTCATAAACTTCCCATTGGTATTGCGACGGGTGAGAAGGCCGTAAGGAAAGAAACTTGCACAGGTTCAGTTTAGCTCGGCCCTGACGCGGGCATAGAATTTCTTAAATTGACTAGAAGAGCCTCTGGCGCTAGTGTCTATGGGAGCTGCAACTGCATGGCACTTCAGCGAGCATGGGAATGATGACTGATAGGTAGTACATAGGTTTTTTTAATCTTTGTACTTCTGGCTCTGGGTGTGTGTTTGTGTCGCTTATGGGAAAAGTTGGTACGCCACAGCAGCCGCTAGAACAAGCGCATGGGACCTCACGCTTCAACTTTCCATTCGCACTGTGCCAGCGCTTTTCAGATCAAGTGAACTCGATGAGGTGTAATATATCACTGCGTGATTCACTCACGAACTTCAGTGTTTAGTTGCGATGACCTGTCTACGATTTGCACTTGTCCCCCGGTTCAACCAACTGAGCAGCTCAGAAGCGTCAGTTAAGTATTATTATCCTTTAGTGTCAGTCCACTTTCGGCATAAACAAAATGCAGTACAATTTGGTTGCCTAAAAAACGCAAGCACTGTCCATAAATTCACGGATGCATTAGGAATCAATGTTCTTGGTCCTTATCCTGTCCTTGAAATAATGTCCTTGTCTTACGAGTAAATTGTACAGTTAGCGTATATTTAAAGAGTGCTTTAGAAATGACTTGTATTCTGTAAAATAAAATACATTCACTAGACCATGTGCCCGTCGCTTGCACAATATGCACATACCAGCTTTTCTTGGCACTGCAACTACAGGTTGGAGTAAAACTTTTAAGGTAAAAAAGAGAAGTAGAACCAGGAAAGAAATATACATACCGAAAACACCCATTCATGACTGAAAGGTTATTGCACGTGTTAAAAAACGTATGTAAGAAATAGGGGTACATTGCGAATTTCACAAAGAGGCACAAAAAAGCAAACAGCTAAGGTGCGAGTTAAGTTTCTTGTGTTGTAATGATAGCAAAGGTTCATTGACTTAAACAAAGTGTGGTGTTTTTTATGTCTCCGAGATTTCTCGCATTGTCTGGTTAGGGTGATTGTGCAAGATTACCAGGCCTCCAAAGATGAAATTGCATTTGCATTACTGAAAATTTGAGGCGTGATAAGATGGCTTCATTCAATAAATTTTGGTGCTCTCTTAGGTGCGTGTTGATAAATCTATACCTGCCAAGTCTCCCAGATTGCCCAGGAGACTCCCGGATTTCGACTGTTTCTTCCGTTCGTGCGGTTGTCAAGAAAATCTCCCGGAAATACAAATTTCTGTGTGTGATCGGGCCACATTGACAATAAAGCAGCTTAAACCACTTCAGCCTTTTTTCGAACCCACACCATTTTAATATAGATGAATTTAAGAGACATTTATCTAAACATACAGAATCTCAGTGGTGCTAAACCGTGGCAGATACGAATTGAAATTCCCCAGCGAAATTTCACTATGTCAATTAAGCCTAAATTCAAATGTTCCAAACACTTTTTCTAATCGCGGTGGGTGGTACGAACTTTAGTACAGAAACCGTCGAACGAAGGCTGAGAGCAGCGTACTGAAAGCTTCGGGAGTGTGCGTGCAACCAGCATGTGCACTGTGTTCTACAGTGTGTGTATTGTCGTTGCCAGAACTTCCGTGGGTGAAACCGCGATCATTCTTGATAATATCATGTATGGCGACGACGTAACTGACAGAACCCCGAAATTGTGCACGCGTCGAATGCTCGACCGGTCAATGCATCGCTGCTTTCCGCAAAGTCTGCGGATAAAACCACGGCAGATGCAATCATAGATGGCATAAAACGACTTGGTTTTTAGGGCACGTGCGCAGCCATGTGCATGGGAGAACTACCATTTGCCACAAACGCCGTGTACAAAACCGTGGTCACGACGACGCGATAGCGATGTACGAGCTCCAAGGACACACAGCTAACGCAGCGGTAAAGTAAAGGTAGTGAAGACATAAAAAAGTCAAAGCTTTGCCGCAAAGGCGAAGCAATGAACGCGATAGCAACAAATTGGATGGTCACGGGCAGAATGACAAGCAGATCGAAATGTGCCCCGCGTTTCTCACACACAAAGGAGGCACGAAATGTACTCAGAGGCACACATTAACGCGAATAAGCGTCTCAGTTGTTACTTTGCTGTGTCTGAAAAGCGCACCCTTTCCACAAACGAAGGCTGTGCAACGATTGCAGTGACCTTTGTGCACCTGGTAACCACAACAGAATCATTCCGACGAAACTCAAAGGCTAGCCAAGGCGTACGATTCTCCCCACTGCAAAAAAAGGGTGCGCGATCAAGCGTACACCACCTTATTCTCTACACAGGCCAAAGTATGCGTGAGAGATGAGAGGATGTATGGATAGATTGATATAGCTGTATCCTTTAAGTCGGACGGCGGCTAACGCAACCTAGCCATAGTACTTAGCGAACAAAAACTAAATTTATCTTTTTTTTAATGGTGAAGTTAAGCACTGGCACTTTGCTGTGAAGAATTTAATACTCACTCGTGCCTTGATTGTAGCCACCAATTGGATAACTTCCTTCTAGTTGATTCTACCCACCTAAAGTCTATTCTGCCCTCCCTGTCCCTAAACCCCCAGTGCTTTGAAAAACCCTGCGCCATCATCAGGAACTATAGGGTGAAGCCCTTAACAGAACATTATCAAGTGTTTGGCAGTTTCCTCCTCCTCTCCACACGTACTGCATACCGTGTCTACCCCTTCGTATTTGGCCCAATAAGTCTAGATTCGCAACACTCCCGTCCTGGCCTCAAACAGCAGAGAACTACCCCGAGTATTATCGTAGATTCTTTCCATGGCGATTTTCTGCTTAAAAGTTTGATAGATTTCTAGTGCGGACTTCTCAATCATGTTAATGCTCCACATATCGGTCTCCGTTTCCTTTACCTTCTGCTTAACCAGAAGTTATTTTTGGTTTGGCCCCCTGCTCTTTTCTGAGTAGTTACCCGTCAATTTTCTGGTGCGCTTCTTCTATTTTGTATCGCCGTTCCTCATGTACAAGTAGCTGAACACATTCCTAGCCCAACGCTCCTCCTTTGTTTCTCTCAATCGCTTCTCAAGTTTTATCTTGCTGCTAGCTTCCCTGCCCTCGAATGATATCCATCCCACATCACCTTGTTCTCCCTGATTTTGTGTATTCCTGTGAGCTCTTAAAGCAAGCCTACCTATTCCTCATTGCGTAATTTCTAATCTTGCTTGAACCTTTGATCTCATGCACAAGACCGCATTGCCAAAAGTCACACCGGGAACCATGACACTTTCC